AAATTAATTTCCTTACTAATTGGAATTTTTTCTTACGGCTTGAGCCTAAGTGTGTCGCAGGATACCCTCTAGGTATAGTTCTTGATTACTTTTTAATAAATAATTTGTTCTTAGTGCGAAATAGAAGTAATAGAAGTCGTGAGGAAATTCTGTCTTTTTAAAAGACAAAAATTTTTGAGGCGAAATACCCAAAAAGGAGCTTGTAAAAAAATGAATCCGCCTCAACAATATAGAACTGATCTACAACTTAGACGGGCTTTCTTAACAGAAATCGACCATTTAACCGGAATAATCATTCGAGCGGTTCGCTTCTCTAGGTGATACCTCAAATTCCTCCTCGTCGTCCAGATTGGTAATGTTCTGCGAAAAGGTCGGGAAATTCTTCCTGTTGTGCGACTTCTTCGGATCGAACGGATCGACGACGATTTGCTCGGTCCCTTTAATTTCGGCCCTGCAGAATGGACATCCTTGGCTGCCCTGCCCCTCTGAACCCTGCAAATGGCCAAAGAACTGTAGCCATCCGGAACTTCTCCAAACGTCTTGGTTCTACTCACTGCTTGCCATGCGGTTAGGCACGGAGTGCACAGCAAGTGCCCGCACGGCTCTATCCGAACGTCCTTATCGTTTTCGGCGCAAATTTTACACAGCTGGAACGTGCTGCCCATCTCGCAATACAACTCGTACTGTTCCTGGGTGACTGCAATGTGATCTTCCTGGCTCGGTTGCACTGCCCATGCCAGATCTGGATTGTTCGCCCGACCATCCGGATAGAGGTAGCTGGGCAAACGAAAAAAAAAAGGCAAAATTACGCAATTTGCCTGGGGAATATTGCTCCAATACGTACAACCCTTCCCGATATCCATCCAACAGCGCCTGGATCAAGCTCTTATTTTGCGGTATCGTTTGCAAAATTTCCCCATCGGGCGTAACATAACCGATGGCCCATTGGCCCAGCCTGGTGCAGGACAATCGGAACACGTACGAGCCAGCTTTGCCCATATAGCGTTGCAATCGTGCCTTCACCTCGTCATATGTGAGAAATGCCACGTACCCGGGATGAGTAACTGCCAGGATTTGCCAGTTTCGTAAAAGTGTCGTCCATGGCTGGAACAATCTGAAACCAGTTTTTATTCGAATGAATCAAAAAGTGCCATTTTGCGAACAGAAGCGATGATCAAAAAGATCAGTGTGCGACAAAGTAAATGTGACACTTTGAACTTGCCACTGTCATTATATATTTTTGAGTATTTTTATTTAAAAATAACCGAAATGCTTTTTTAAGGAATTACGTAGGTTTATCAACAGCTATTGATCCTATTTTCAAGTTTACTAACAATTTGTAAATTATACCTTTGTTACAAGTTCAGTCTCATAATCGTTTTAAT